TAACAAGGCTGCCCAAACTTTCGCACCCCACTGTATTTACTGGTCAGTCTACATTCCTACTCTCACTTCTGGAATGCTGGGTAGTGACCGAAAGAACGAGACCGAAGTGAGTTTTCTCTGCAGGGTAGCTGGACCCTCCCTTAGAGATAGGGTGAGTTCAGTTTTGGATTTTGTCTCTAACCTGGAGATGAAGCAGTCTACGGTGTTCGGGCAGGGCCAGCGGCGACACTTATACAGCGGCCTCAGGTGGAAGCCGTAGAGGAAGTACTGTCCCAATATGAAGCCCACTTCAAACAGCGTCTTGAAGATGATGTTGAAGATATAGGTTCTTAGTAACGCCCCGCGGATCCGGATCTTCCCATGCTCATCACGAATTGGGGGTTTTTCTTTCTTCCCACCTCTTCCTCCGCCATCGCCAATCCCATTGTGATACAAGGGGTCATAGTCCTCCAGGTGCTGTGCTGCCTTTCTGAGGTCTTCCTCCCTCTCCCGTCTCTTCTCCTCCATGCGGACAATGTGTAGCACATGGCCCAGGTAGATGAGGGTAGGTGTGGAGACAAAGATGATCTGCAGCACCCAGAAGCGAATGTGAGAGATGGGGAAAGCCTCGTCATAGCAGACGTTCTCACAACCAGGCTGCTGTGTATTYCAGGTAAAGTCTGACTGCTCGTCACCCCAAACCTCCTCGGCTGCTGTACCCAGAACCAGGATGCGGAAAATAAAAAGGACAGTGAGCCAAACCTGGAAAGGAAAAGGATAAAAAAAAAAGCAAAACAGCAGTTTTAGATAAAACTTTTTCATGAACTGAAAGAAGTTTTCAGACAACAYATAAACAGGGCCTTGTTTAAAGCCACATGAATTTTAGTATCATACTGTATCGTCGTGTATTTTATTGTATCATTTTATATTGATTTGTATGACTACATATTGAATCGTATCATATCATACTGTATCATATTGAATCATATTGTGTTGTATTGTATTGTAATGAATGCACTGTATCATATTGCACTGTACTGTACAGTATTGTTCTGTATTGCAATAAACTGCATTGAATTATATTGTTTTGTATTAAACAGTAATCTTATCTGTTGCATTGTGTTAACTTAAATTGTATTGTAAATTATTTATCTGATCATCAGTTTACATTGAGACCTCATGAGGAACTTAAAGGAATTAGATTTCCACACTTTTGTTTACTAAACCTCTTTCTTTAGTAACCTATGCACAAAATATTTTGGTGTCAGTGTGAGTGAGGACATTGTGCAGAAAGTTTTACTATATTGTTGTTTATTTGGAGTCACCTTTCCAATAACAGTTGAGTGTTCCTGAGCATTTTCCAGCAACCGCCCCAAAAAGCTCCAGTCACCCATTTTTCACTCAGTTTTCTAACCTGAAAATGAGGAGAAAGAGACAGGAGAGTTCAGTGAACAGAACAGAACTTGTTAAACTAACCACAAAAGCAAGAAGACATCCGTAAACATCTAAGATAAGTTTGGATTGTGGCATAAAAAATTAGGAACTTTACTTACTAAAATATGGTTGATAGTAATAAATCCATCAACAACAGTTCAGAAGAAAATATCCATCTGTAAGAAAGAGATAAAATGCATTTTTAGGTCATTGTCAAATAACCCCAAACTAAATTATAATGTCTGCAAAACATAAAACACTGATCCTTTTGTACCAAAATATTACATGGCTCTCTCTTACCCCAAACTGGGTTTATGAGTTTATGTAAAGAACATTTTGGTTTTGAGCCAGTTCACTTGTGGAATCATTGACATTTATTGTGTATTTTTGTACATATTGTTATACACAGTACAGTGGAGAAGTGGTT